AACGTCAAAAAGCCGCCTTGCAAATTGGCAGAAAGTCGAGCATTCTACGTCGAGCTAGTGACTTTATTCGGTGTTGACAACCGAGTCCTGTATCCCATTGACCAACTAATACAAGCTGTAATGGTAATGCTCCTAGTTTCTGTTGTGCATTTTTATTTAGCTTAAAAGGAAGAGTTTAGTTATCTACTACTACTTAAACTCTAACACATAAACTAGTGAACACGCCGCATCTATTCGACTCCTTATTTTTCATCGCTCTAGATATGAGTTTATAACACCTCGTGCCGGTCGATTTGCCCTCCAAATTGACATCTTCATTACTGCACATCCTACACAATAATTCCGCCTTCCTATTATGGTTGTAATCTTAGCACTTTTTTATTTCTCTTATGGGTAGTGAAAAAAAACTGTCCTCCATCCAACCACGGTATTTTCCACATTTGGTAGTCACCTTCACATGATATAGGAAGCATATAACCGTCCATTCTGCGCGACAGCTATGGTTCACTTAGTGTTTGGATATAAAATAACAACTAACCAGCAGTCAGAATTAGTTCTAACTGATTAACACATTATGGGCCAGCATGACGTCTCTGAATCCCTGATTATTGTTCTATAACTAAGGCACTAGAGAGCTCGACATTTCTACAGAGAAGTCTACTCGTCGTGCTAGGTGGAGTTCCGCTTGCTCAATCGCTTAGCTGGCCGAGATACACGTATCGTCCAGGGAAACGACAGTTCTCAAAAAAAACAGCATGTCATTTTTCTGGAGGATGAATATTGGATCTTACATGCAAAAAGTGTTGTAGATTTTGTTGGTTTTTACTTTAGCTATTAAAAGAGGTCACAATTAGATGGGATATAATTGTTCGACCATGGGGCTTCATTATTTCTGGGCGCAACAAAAGCGTCAGGCGTGATGAAGGGGCAACGAGGTGCGGTGATTTAGCACATTTATTGCAATGGGAAAAAGAATAAAAAATTTTGAAGGTTTTGCTGAAACAAGGTTATCATATTTTTAATTGAGTCTACGAATTGCATTTTAGGTTGAAATAGTAGTTATATACAGATTTTTTAAATTTTATTCGTTTATCTCCACTGCCTCTCAACGGTTTACCACCTCGTCATGACTGGGAGGTGTTTCTGGGTGTCGGGCTATGATCTACAGCAGACATTTATTCTTCCAGCATGGTCCTCAAGCTGAGAGAAAGTTCGGCGTTTTCATCGGGAAGCTCAGCTGAGAGTAAACCAATACCAGGACCCACCACAGTCTTGGTATCAAACTAGTCGCATGGTAGCAAACCTCCCTCTGATCCACAAGAGCGACGACTGCTTGCCGTGGCGAAGTCCTGAGGTAAACTTTGGCCAGGCTGACCTCGGGATTCCAGCAGGCTACAATGGATAAGCCAGCAAAACCCCGAAAAATGGAGACTATGCTGGGGGCGCGCAACCAATGAGGATAGGCCGTCCAAGTGTCGAAGTAAGTATCTCCACTTCACCGACAGTGTGATCTGCGAAGAAAGAAGTTGTGGAAAATCGGTCCACTTTTCGAACCCATCGGTAAAACTTGCCAGAGAGTACACACATGTGACGGTGGGAACATCTTCAAAACTGATGTGGTTGAATCGACAGTGTTGAGGTTTCTGCAAGATCTGCTGTACAAACGAAAGCCATACACTGATAAGTAGCAGACGAGTGTCTCGTTGGTTGAAACACTTCTACATACATATGTAGAAAGAACAAAAAAGGGTTTTACCATTGTGCTATTCGTTAGAGGCTAGGGAGAAAAGAATGCATAGCCTAATAGAATTGGAAAGATACAATGGCGTCGGAATAGCTTGGTAAAGCTGACATTATTGTGATATGTGGACGACACATGATTCCAGGCTGTTGTCTCAACAACACAGTAAATTGTTTAAAGCTGGAGCCAGGAAGCACTATTCATGGAGATAACCGAAAGAGGGCATTAAAATAGGTGAATATTACGGAAAAAATTTATAAAAAATATTAATTCCAAAGGTTGTAAGTGGCAGGAATTTTAAACAATTTGTAAAGGTACGGATTTCGGGGATTGCAGTTTGTAAAATAACTGAATTTGAACGCAAAATTTATAACAAAATTACAGTGTTATGATAATAGGTGTTGCAGATAAAACTCACTTTGTGGAAAGCCAGGGTTGGGTGTGGCGCAGTGGTCGTAGGTGCCCTGCAACAAATACGTGGAATCGACCCCTGCCTCCATGGCTCAACAAGCCTTCCATCCCTTCAGGGTCGGCAAATTGGTAGCAGACTTGTCCGAAAGGATAGCAGCACTGGCGCCATACATTAGTTGGCCACCGCGAGTCATCGTAAGGGCCAGATATGCATTCAACTACTCCAGCAATGCCTAATGAAGTCGAATGCTTTGCACATCCCTCAAGGATTGATCAACGCCGAGGGCTTTATCCTTATCCTTCATGTGGAGAGCCACTTAAGAACACCTTCCTCATGTACAACGAATGGCTACGCAGAGTATACAACCATACCTATACCTGAGAAGTCTCTTCAGTGGCTTCTGATCTTGTCGCAGATAAAAATATTTCTAGATATAGAGTTAAGTCTCTAAATACACCAAACGCATATGTCTTTCTAGGTAGTTATTTCTGTTTTTATTGCAATGACTGTAAACTGCACATAAAATACGAAAACTTCACAAGTTATGGACTAGAAAGCTGGTAAATTGCATGCGAACAACTTATCTTTATATACATGCTTTTACGAATTGCTCTGCTCAGCTGACGCTAGGTTGGTATAGATGCTATTATTGTTATTGCTGTTGTTGTTGTTCGATGGCTGATGTTTTTGCGACTTTGCCTAATGATGAAGAACCAGAAGAAAATGAGAGAGATGAGGATTAATGGGCAAAATAAGTTACCCATTAAGAGGCTCTTCAGAAAAAGTGGTATTGAGAGTTATGTGGTTGTTACCGAACTCCCACCAACCTGCGCCGCTAGTCAGGTTGCAACAGCCTCTGTGACCGTTTGTGTCGCTCAGAAAATTGTGTGAACCATTTTAAAGAGAGACAATTTAAAGAGAGAGACATGTACAATATACTTGATCTCATGTAAGAAATGCTGTGAAGAACATATTGAGGGAACGGATAGACCACTTTGTGCCTGCGTGAAAGACACCTAGAAGGGTGAGCCCAAATTCGACAACGTACTCCTCTAGGTACACATAGGGCACAAAAGCGCTACGGAGATGATTTCGTAGTTAATGTCTATATCTTGACGCAGGAATGTAGATATAAACGAACAAGACGTTTAAGGTGCTTTGGCTAAATCCCAAGAGTCCAAAGATGAACCTGAAGAGCGATTGTCTCACCATCACATGTGATATGGTATCTTACCTCAAAATGGTTTTTGATACAAATCCTATAAGAAGCTATCACTCATCATTCCTCTTGAACAACACAGGGTGCTCCAACCTGCCACCTGTATCACCTGTAGTCCCGTTGATCGTCGAGTGACTCGAGGAGGCGCCAGTAAATCTTCCACTTTTCCCTGTCGCGTGCAAGAGTAGCCTAGTGGGTTCTGCTCGCTCTAGGGGCATGTTGAGTGTTATATCTTTCTTCTACGCTTTTAGTGAAGAACTCTGACTATGGGTGCGGAGGAATTCCTGCAGTGCGTTTAACATCCCGAAGAATCCAGTCACTAACGGCTCCTGCCCATCGACTGTCATTCATACGCATTACGTGTCCGGCCCACTTTATCTTCGACTGCCTGGCGTACAGAATGTTCTTTATCTTGATTTTTTTAGAATGGTATCTTTGATTTTTGATCGTTGGAGCTGGTCGGAGCTTCAGATCCCTTCCCTTAGTTGTGTGAAAAGGGATACTCCCAGCGTCGTCCTTTTGACGCCGCTTTCAATAACGCTGAGTGATCTTTCATCCTACTTACGCAGCGACCAGGTTTCTGACGTATACGTTAGGGAAGAAAGTAACGTTGAGTCGAAGAGGTGGGCGCAGAGTTGGGTTCTCTTTGTTCTCTTCGCTACATCCTCTATGCTCTTGAGAGCTCTCCAAGCCGGTCGTTTCCTTCTGCTTAGCACTGGACCTAAGTCGTTCATTATATTGATTTCGACTTAGATAGACACAACTGCAGCTTTTCGGAGATTTTCGTTCCGTTGAGCGTCAATGGGGCATGCGAAACCAATCCGTTCTTCATGAACATCGTTTTTGTGAGATTTAGTCAAAGACGAATCTTTCCACAGGCTCTATCAAAGTCATTAAGCATACGTTCCGAATGGCTAATATTTGGTGTTATAAGGACGTCATCAGCAAGGCGAAGGTGGTGTAACTGCCGACCATCGATTTTCACTACCATATTATCCCATTCCAATGCTCGCATGACGTTCTAGAGTGTAACTCCCACAACCGACTTTCTATTAACCTCGGCATTGATCAAGTAATTATTCGTATTTTTGTTGAGCAAACGCGAGGTGTTATTATTCTTTATTCACGAATGAGCTGACGTTTCGGCGGATTTCGCCTTCCTCAGAGCCTGGAAAGGTCAAGTTGACAGCAAACCACTCGGCCAGACGCCTCCATAACCAAACAAAGAAACTCCAAACCAAGATTTCAATCACATTTAGCATAGCTCTGCACACTCACCGCTTTCTACGAGGTTTCCACTAAGTATGTCACGTAGAGACCAACCGCACAGAAATCACATGGAAGCATTATGTATGTGCCCCTCCCATCAGAATAGCAGTCTTATATACTGGCCTATATCACGCGTGATAATGAGGCGTTCTTCCCTGCTGGGTGTCGCATTTCGGAAGGGGAACCGGTGGTACAACACATCCATCTTTTTTTATTTTATATGACCGAAGGTAGACGTGGCTATCGAAGAGATCTGAATTGTGTTTGTGAATGATTTTCTCCATTACCTTTCCGGGCGCTGTAACTGTCCCGTCTGGACGTCAGAGTGCAGCCATCTTGGTCTTGTAATTGGCGAAGATTCAGTGGGCATTGCGAATGCTCTTCCCATCTTTTCCAGCATAGACCATTACTGCTGCTCTTGCCTCTTTAAAATCTTCTTTTATCGCCTGTCTGCATTGTTTTGCAAGTTTGGACGTTAGTTCGCGGTTGTCCGCTGCTCGTGCAATTCCACGCAGGCGTATCAGCTCGAGTGTTTCTGGAGACAATTGTCTCTTGGTGACTTTCGAACTCTCGGCTTTCATAGCCCTAACCTGAAGATGTTGAATGAGCCGATCGTATTCTTCATCTATGTCATCGACGACGGCATCTTCCCAACAGCCGCCTAATGAATTGAGTAAGTCCCAGTTTATGGTGGTTTTGGGACTTCGGTTTTTGAATTTAGCGGCTTTTTCTCCTTTCCGGCAAAACCGTCTATTTATTATGATTTGGTCTATTTCGTTATGGTACTCTCCATTGGGAGACTTCCACGTTCAGCCTTTAAGGTGGGGCTTTTGGAATTGCGAGTTATCATACGTGGTCTTGGTCGTCATGATAAACTCAGAGAGCCGCTCACCCTGTTCGTTCCACTCTAATCCGTGGGCCCCAATGTGACGTTGTTCAGGCGTTCTTCTTGGTCCAATCTTGGCGTTAACATCTCCAATGATAACCTTGAAGAATGTATGAACTTGTCTGTAAAATTACTCCAAGTCCATATAAAATGCTTCGACATCTTCTTCGTCATAATTTGATATCGGCCCGTAAACGATGAAAATTGTCAAAGCCGGTATTGATCCACATCTTTTTAATATAAACGCCCGATTCGGGTTGTTAGTTATTCGAATGAATCAATGTTCATGGACAAACTCGTGCCGACGAGAACGCCAACGCCGCCTCCGACTCGTCTACTGTAGCATGTTCCGAGGAACAGTTCTTATCCGCTGTTACAAACGGCATTGAATGGATGGCGTCGTCTAAGGTCGATGACTTCGTACCTTACCCTTCTTGCATGCATGAGGGAGTCTTTTATCGAAGACTCGGATGCAAGTGTGTGTGCATTGTAGGTACAGATCGTCAACCTAGTTCTTTGTAATCCAGGCAGCTTTCATTGGCTCTGAGATTTTAGCGGCCTCTGCGTACTCATCTTACCTAACGCTGCGAAATTGGGGGCTCTTTCGGGGGAGGGGAATAAGACCCGTTTTTTTTCTGTGTTTCTGTGCATTTGATACCCACGTATAGCTTGCTGGGCTCTGAACGTGGGTGCTGGGTATACTCACCGGTAGGTTGTCAGGCTCTTGCAGAGTGCTTAGTTGTTGGAGGCGACTCCTAACCGCCTCGGTTATATTTCTCTGTCACTTGATTGCAGGCATTTGGCCGAATTGACTCGTAGAATGCAATGCGCATAAGCGAGAACGTACCCACACACGCATGCATGAATACGCTTATCAAATACAGAAAGTATGTGCCAAATTGGCGCAGCAGAAACAAGGAACCCATGCTCTGGATCCACCTGCGTCTCAGGGAAGCAAAGGTCGCTTTTTGTCAGCGATTAACCCCCTGTCCGCCACCTGGGGCGCACCACTTAGCCTCGCGACTAACTGGCTTGAGATCTCTCATATGAGAGAGATCCGTGCTCCAACGGTACCGTGTATAATTTGATGTTTTTCTTCAATAAGTAGGCACGAGGTTGTTATTATAGAATTTATTAGAATGCAATAGCTGACGTTTCGGTGGTTTCTCCTTCTTTAGAGCCGTTTATTCTGTTCTCTGTTCTCGCCCATCCATTACTTTGTGCGGCTGCTATCCACCAACTAACAGAAATACTTATAACGAATAAACGGCTTTGAAGAAAGCAAATCCACCGAAACGTCGGCTATTGTAATCAAATAAATTCTATAATAACAACCTCGTGTCTGCTTATTGAAGAAACACGTCGAATTATCAATCAATGTCGAGATTAATAGAAAGTCGGTCATGGGAAGTACCGTGAATAGTTTGTGAAAAACTGGCGTTTAGTCATACGCTGGATCTTCATTAATACTACAGTTTTCACGGAATTATGTGGCTATTGTTACGCATAATACATCCACTCGCTGAGGAATGCGAAGTCGTCGATATGTCAGCCATCGAATAACAGCAACGACAACAGCAACAGCAACAACAACAACGGCAACAACAATAACTTCTACTAACGTTGCATCGTCTCAGCAAGAGCAGCTTATGAGAACGGATAGGAAAGTCGATCCTTTAAGTTATTTTATTTTTAGTTTTGCTTTTACTCAAATTTTAGGAGTCGCAGATCTTGAAATAGATGCTTTTAACCACAGCTTCTAAAGCAATGGTGCAAGGCGATCGTAATAAGGCTCCATAACTAATTCTAACGACGATTTCTCTCTGGGAACATTGTTGATCGCATACTTTGTGAAGTACGAGCCACTCCGAAAGAGTATCCTCAACGAGTTACCATCTTATCGAAGCCAAAAGCGCGTCAAAATGATGAGTTGGTCTGGAAATTATTTTTGTTATAAAATACCAATTGTTAAGAATGGCTTTCAAATCTGATAATCGACACAATAATCCGTTCTGAGCAACCTATCTGTTGAATGTAGAAGAGAACAGCAAAAAACTTCTGCGCGGCAAAATAAACTATCGTAAGAAAATGAGTTGATATCAATCCGTCAGACATGCCTACCAGATGTGAGGTGAAATCCACTCAATGTGTACAACTGTTAATAGTGTTAGTGCCGCTATAGCGCACTTGGTATATTGTTACTTGGAAAACGATTTCAGTGTTCAACCTTAATTCTTCAAAATATGAATAGGAGAGCACCAACATGCACTGATTCTAGCACATTCGGTTTGTTTTCCCACACAGAGCTCTTATCTCTAATTTTTCGTGCTCAATCGACAGCTTATTCAACAGTGCTGATGTATAACGCGTATCTCTTTAAAAGCTATCTTTAACGTTTACTAATTTACAAAAAACTGTGTATCATAATTGTTTATTTCAAGGCGGGACACCCTTGCTAGTGAGGAGGGCACCCTTTTCGCTCGTGAAGAAAGCTTAGAAATGTCTCCAAGTTTGCACTGAGGTCCGACACTTAGGGGCGCCTTTTCGCTGTGGCAAAGAATGTAGAAATCTCGACGTTGAACAGTCCCTGAGGGATGGGCCATGCATTAGCCTTCATTAAGCATCTTCAAAGCTGATTGAATGGATTTGTGACCTATACCAACTCGCGGTGGCCTACTGATCTGCCGAGTCAGTGCTACTACTCACCCGGAGAGCTTTGGTACCAATATGACGAGCCCACAAGGACAGAAGGCTTGATGACCCTGGACCATGAGACTGAACCAGCGACCACTTGGATATCGCAGGAGGTCTCTAACCCCTGCGCTGGACCTGCTCCTTTTCGCTCTGATGTGTCGATGTTCATTGAGGAGACCTCTACCAAGTGGCTCTCTGCTCCATAGCATTCATTAATGCGCCTCAACGCAAATTTGCTGTAGAAACAGTCGTAAAGTCTCATTACTACAGTCTTCTACTACTCTTTCAAAAGTCGTGCTCAAGAACTTTTTCATAACTTATTTTCATAACTTGCAATTTACAACTTATACATCAATAAAATTTTTCCAAGCACATTAGTGCTGGCTTTCCTTGGTTGTAGATTTGACGAAAAGTTAAAAGAAATTTTGCGATGAACAGTGGTTTTTTAGGCTACGCAGATCTGAGACAGTGGAAGATTCGTGTAGAAAATATTGAGTAATGACATGCCTTCTTGCATCTACTAAGATCGTTTATGGGCCTTAAGACGTAATACTGAGCCATATCTATAGTTATAGATGGATCCCTGTATAAACCAGAATTCTGTACGCATGACACCACTTGCGTGTAATTTAAATAACATATATCTTGCTATGTAAGATATATTGATGGGTGAGGACTCTTTTTCTAAAGACTACGATGAATAACAATACCCACGTGTTTCCACTCTAAATTTTGCGCAATTCTTAGTGATAAGTTTGACTAGTGGGGTAGTCTAGGATAGCCTTTTTCTCCCGCAATACATTGCGTTCTCTGCAAAATAGAGGTTATCCAACAGGCTTGCTAATCTATTTCTCATGAAAATTCAGGTTGTAATACGAATGGAAGTGTGGGCAGATCATCTGGAGCTCGAAAACTTTCAACTATAACAATTTAACCGTCCGATCTTGTCGTTAGTAATCAGCTCCCAAATGCCTGCCATAAATATTTAATAAAATTTTTTCGGTTCCGTGTGTCAGAAAAAAATATCGATTACAACAGAAAAAGTATCAGTGATGACCTAGTTGTTGTAAGACTCGCACTGCTAGAACTTACCGTTAGCTTTGTCACCACACTTTTGTCGTTTTTCCCAAATTTTCTTTTGCTATGTTATAATATGTGTATATACAATTAAAACTTTAAATAAAAGTCTGTTAAGTACTTAACCCAACAAGCTATAGGGAGACTATAAAGAAAGTCATCAATATCAAATATATGTGTGTAATTTTGATCTTGGACCTGTAACTGACTGTTGCTTCACTTCCATTCCATATTACAGGTCATGCTCGTCGCAAAAAATGGACTGGGATAAAGAAATACATAAATACTGAATTTTCAATATAAACTGTAGTACATTTCCAAACGTTCAAAGTAGCGTTGCTTGGTGGTGAGCCATAATAATATACAGTGAGTACTAAAATGTGCATGCATACTGTAATAGAGCAAAGCCTGTTCTTCACACTCTTTGAATTTCAAACTCCCCAAGTGCCTAGTTGTCGAAAACTAGCGTCTGGTATCGAAAAACTAGCGCAGCTTACAATTTGCTCAATGGGAAATGGAAGACAATTTTTCAGGTCTCCAACTTACTTTTAATTAAGCATTTTGTGTCAGTGAGGCAGAAGCATGCGGGAGCAAAGTCTCCATTTGTACTATCGCTCTCTCCCTTCTCTCATAATACTCCAACAAGATCACGCTTTTCCTATGAGACTTTTTATTTTTACTGCTTTGAGGTAGGAAGAGGTAGCGTAGCCTTCAAGATTTAACATCGGTCTCCTCACTGCAAATCACCGGAGTTGAATCTCCAGAGTTGTCTATTTCAGTAGACAACACGTTTGAATTCACGCAAGAACATCCACAAACGAATGTATGGATATAACAGCATTGGTATTTTTTCGGTACATTACTTTTTCACAACACTATCTGCACGACGACTGCGTTTGAACTACGGCGACGGTGGAACATCAT